TTCTTCCAAAGAAGAACATCATCGAAAAGCTGACAGAATGTTCAAAAATGGTTAGCAGTTATCGTCCCGGAGACTCTAAAAGGGATTATGATCGACAGATATTCAGGGAATGGTGTGACACATACTTTTAAAAAACTGTAGAAAGTAAACTGCAGTAGTCAGTGTGACACAAAGGATAATTAACATGCTAAATCAAAAGTGATTTAGCCAAACCTAACATACAGTCTCGTGTAACGTTACCACTCATTCGTGCCAATTTGTAGAATGATGTGTACGGTAAATGCCAAGTTATACTAAAAAAAAAAGAGAAGTGTGTTCAAGCATAAGCTGATCTACTTTTTAGTTGAAAACTTGAGCATCACCAGCATTGGTTCTTATGGTAAACGCTGCGACAAAACACATATAAGTCAGTAAATAATTAGCCTCAATTCAGAGTCCTGTGTAGTATTTACAACCAAGATAATCACTTCTTCGTAAATGACCAAAATTTCTGAGGCTTATATTTACCCGTATCACACAGAATGAACCTCGGTACAGTTGTTAGCTAGTGGTGTCAATAAAAGTTCCGAACACAAATATTGAATATATTCAGGAAAACTAGGGAATACAGTTAGGACGCAATGAGAACTTGTTATGATTTGTGGTGATTTAAAAGCAGTTCATAGTTCCGCTTCAAATCAGTTTGCTAAGTTGACCAGACACTCACCATAGACATAAACATGAGAAAAAAAAGTAAGACTAATAGCTTAGCTTGGACGAAAACAGGCATATTTTAGGGGTTAGATTGGACAAACATGAGTTCTTATACTGGGAATCAACACAAAGCTAACCAAGGATTATCCTCATGTTTAGTGCATTTCGGCTTTCTGTTCTTGTGATATATTCAAAAATATTGATCATTTGCCTAATTTGACTTTACCAAATTTGTTTATGTAACCCTATAGAAGTTCATGTTTTGATACTCTGCGCCGTTGCATTTAGTTTTGGTCAGAAACTGCGGTAGCCGTAAAATTGAAGGTTTGTAATCAAATTTTATATATATGCCTTCCTTGACTGCCACTCAAGTGTTTTGAAATTGGTCGATTTTGATTTCAATTTGGGGACTCTTGAGATTCGTATTATCCATACGAGCTACGTGGCTTATGGGCTGCAAAATAAGTTTCTTCAGTTGACTGTAGTCTGTTTCAGCTAACATTTTGTACAGCCTTTCCTTTGGATGTCTTTTCTGTTTCGGACGTTTATCTCCTCATATACAGGGGTCGACAGCTGACGAGAAGCAGGCTGTTTATCAGCCTCATAGTACTAGATTATGGAACTGGGAGAAATTTCTACATATGGAATATACCTTCTACAACTTTATTTGGTGACGATGAAGATAAAGAGAGTATTGATGATGTTGGTGTGCGTGATTCATCTACTGAATGTGATTCTGTTAACTATACGACAACGAAGCTATTGTCAGTTGTGAAAAGGCTAGAAATGGAATCAAGTCCCAGTGCTGTATCACCTCCTGGTGTAACAGACGTCAAGGATAAGGCACAGAGTCATTCAGGAGCAAGGAGTACAGTCAGCTAACATGAAAGCTGTAAAATACATAGTGGTACAAGTGACTTTGTGTCACACATTTGAGAAATTGTTTGACTTCGATTGCCAGTAGCATCTTTTTGCCAAAGGTAGAATTTTTTATTTTTATAGGCAGCTTAGCTGATATCAAATATCTGCTAGTCAGCTCCAAAGGGTAATAGAAACCAAACTTAATGACAAGGAAAAGATGTTGAATTATTTGATATACTTATGCAAACAAATAGCGAGAACACCCATAGAGGCATGTGTCTTACTGCCAGCTGATCTCTGATTTGACCGAACGAGACAAATTCTGTAAGATTTGTTTGAACTGGAGGACATAGTTGTCTGATCACTTACTGATGATTTTGTTAGAAACTGACACTCGGTCGGGTGTTCGACTGAGGTTGTGAATGAATTCTCTGCGAATCGCAGAAAAGTAAAAATAACATTGCCTCAGACAGGCTATGTGGCGGATCTAAATTCACCAGTCAACGTTGAAGGTGTTGTTAGTCGTCTACCTATAGATTTGCAAGGTATATGGGCTGAAGTAGCTGACAAGAGAACCTGGTTTTAAAGACTTGGTTCACTTTATAGAGGAAAAAGTTAAGATAGTTCGATTAAAATACGATTTGGTGGTACAAAACAACCTAGAAAACGAACAGATGATGAGTTCTGTCTTACGATTCAGCGGTAGTTCGTACTTTAACTTGATAAAAGGTACCAGTGGTTCAACAGGTGATGAGACACCACCTAGTCCTAAAAATTACATCCCATCTCATGGCTCCTTCAGCCTCTATAAATGTTTACAGCTGTCGGATGTGCCAGTCGATGAGAAAAGATCAGCGGTCAATGGACTTAGCTTCTGTTGTATTTGTTTAAAGAGGCGCTAAAGTCTGTATTTCTGAACTGAGATGTGAATTAAAGGATTGCTAACCAAGACTCCACTCCTAGTTATATGTAGCAGAAAGTAAAGATGACACAACCGGGTCCATAACTCATTTGCCATAGACACTAGATCTCCAAAGTAAACTTGGGTATCTTTCTAGTGACGTTGAAGGGTTCCAGAGGAAGCTCAAAGACATATGAGTAATTGAATAGTAGATCAGATATACTACTGACATCTGGATAAATCATCGAAGATCTAGGCCTTAGGGGCAGGAATTACTCTTCAAGTTACCATGAATGGGACTTCGCAGCACAAGTGCTTAGAAGTGAGAACAGAACCATACTCTTCGGATGGTCAGGGTTCAGCGAAGATACACAGGGCATACACCATCAGACCTTATTTGAGCAACAGATTCAGGTCTGAGCTATCTGAGAGAAATTTAGCTGCTGTGACTGCTGGGTGACTCAGTTGGAATCTTAATTAGGTGTTCCAGATGCATATTGGGGTCCGTAACAGAGTCTTGGAGGCATGGGTCAGTCGTTTATATCAAAACCTCACTTTGGTTGTGTTGGAAGCAAAACAAGATAATGAATGCACACATAGAATTGCTTTCTGCCAATGTGCGAATGACTGTATCCAGTATGTGGATCTGGGAAAAGTGCACGATCACGAGTTCAAGGATATGGAGATTATCATCACAGAGCATTCCGCGGACAATAAGGTTATTGAGGTGGCCGGTTGTAAATCCACGCTAGTTAACGGATGCTTTGAGTCCAAACTACGGTGGAGATTTAATAAGTCTAATTCACCTCGTAGTTTTAAAGTGGCTAAGCAAAGGAGTGAAGGTTTACGAAGATGACTGGCAAAGAATATCAAATTGTTGGAGAGCTATAACGAAATTATTAATAAGCATCTGTTAAAGAGATGAACAGTACATAGGGGTGTCCACATCCATTCCCACACGGTCCGATAGTACACTTCACATCATCCTTTCATAAACATTGGAGCTTATAGTTTTGAACCATTACGACTAAGAGTTAAGGATCTTGATGCGGGTTGCAATGGTTCACTTTCCCTCAGAGAACCTAAGGCAAGTTGGCAAGTTCACGACATTAAAAAAGAGTTTAAGAGTACGGCAACGGTTGATAAGGCCATCAGTAGTAATAGTCTGAACCCGTTCCGGAGTTACCTTGAAAATTAGGTGAAATCACTCAAAGAAGTAACTCGGCCGGCTAGGCTCAAAGATTACTTCTTGATTTCCCATGGGACTAGAACTCAAGAATTTATAACTGCAGATGCCAGGTAATCTGAAACTGGTTAGCCTCGACCTTATTGGAATAACTTGGACTACAGAGTCTAAAAAGAGCTTGAAGAGTTTACATCATCTTCAAACAACTTGAACTCTAGAGGAGTCGAGCTCACTTCTAAGTGAGTTCAACCCGTTACTTTTCGATGGCTGATTATGCGTAGGTAGCAGGCTGGCAAGTTGTTCTTGGCCTACTGAAAGGAGGCGTCAAATATCACATCACCAACCTGATTCTGTGACATTATCGTAAAATAGGGAGAAGTGTGGAGGCTACTCAGTTTTTTGCAGCAGATAGAGAAAGGTGTTAGATATTGAAGAGTGGTGTGGCTGAATACGAGTTTGCTAAATACTGGATTTGATGTCGAGGAAGAACTGCTCACTCATAGCGCCAGGTGATGGCAGCGTTAGCATCGGCTACAGTCGAATATTCTCAATTATTTTGTTCATTTGGGATTAACTTTCGCCTCGATTTACCGGCTGCAAGTTACGAAGACGATATTTGCGGACATATGATTTAAACAATACACAAGGTACTGAATGCTCTTGTGAGTGAACAGCCATCAACAGTTGAAAGCCTCATGAATTTGACGTCAGAAGCTGAAAGTATAATCAACAACCATCCATTAGTTTCACTCAATTCCGACACTGAAGATCTCGCAGCACTAACTCTGACAAAGATACTGCCATCGAAAGACAACATAGAACGGTTCAAAGAAACATAGCGTAGTGATAGATTTTCTAAGAGATGACAACAAGTTGGTTGTCTTTCAAAAATGTTTGGGAAACCTAGCTGCAAGAAGTATTGTTTCCTGCTGAAACTACATCACTTATACACAAAACCTGAGAGAAACTTCGAGGTAGCCGACTCAGTTTTGACAGTGTCGGACATAGCAGATCGAAAAAAGTGACTTTTTGGACTGGTACATAGAGTGGTGTATGGTAGAAATGGGTTACTTAATTGAGCTGAATTGAAAAAGGAGAAACGAATACGAGATAGAGGTGTTTTCAGAGGGCGCATTTGGGAGACGTTGAAAGAAAAGCTTTCTTTAAGGGATCCCCAGGCGTACTGGTGAAAGACCTGGAGACCACTTAGAGAGATTTGTATACGTTGGGTGATATAGATCCGTCCCTAGAGTGTGATCGTTCAATTATGTGACAATATATCTCTTTAACAAAGTTCGGACAATATGCTGACATGATTCATTGTACTTCCATTAGTTTGTCAGTAGAAAAAAGACCAACGAAAACAATAAATATTTCTTAGTACTCTCCAATGTTTATGTATCTTTAAAAATTTGCTTCCCAAGGAAATGAATATGAAATTTAGACTTCAAGCTGAAATATTCACGTTTTTTTATTGTAAAATATAATGATTACGAAAGGAAAGCACAACTTCAGAGGGCAGATTGAGAAGTAAGTCAAAAACAGTCCCATTATTGTTCATCCATACACAACATAGTGAAAAAAATTTGTAATCATGCACATATGTAACATTTACAATGTAAGAATCTGCACTTGGAAATAAAAATGAAGTGAAGACTAGTGACAATAAAAGATTATTTTTGAAGCAGATCAAGTTATGAAGAGCAAGTTGAATAGAAGTAAGGTGGTGATGAATACTCAGTCAATATGAATTCATAATTAAAGTTTTGTGTGACTATCTCTAAGTGGTAGTAGTATCGATTTTCTGAAACATTTCTAGATTTCCAGTCTTTTGCCTTCCCTTATATTATTCAGACTATTAGTAATTCAACCATAAGTTTTAATTTCACAACATTAAATGACTTTCTACATTTCACTATACTATAAGTATCAAAAATCAATTTCAGAAGTGTCATAGAAAAAATTCTTGAAGCCAGTAGAAGAAAACAAGGTGAAAGCTTTAAAACAATCCTTGGATGGTATGATAAATAGTCACCAATTATCATACAGTCGATGGTTTTCTGATGAACACTGTCGATTGAAATGAAGACATGATTGAATTACACTTGTTATGAACGAATTTATGAAAATAAATTAAGCAGTTAAATAAACACACCTGTAGTAAAGAGCTATACACTACGTTAAATCAAAGCAAATAACCATCTTTGTATTGTTGATATAGGAGGTGATTGTTTGCATGATGATATTGGCTTCGGTGTCCATTGTCCAACATGGCATGTAATATATTTAGGACCGTCTAAGTAATACTCTTCAGGACATGAAAATATTAAAACTGCTCCTTGTTTGAAACTACTTGTTGAAGTGTTAGCTTCAAGTAATTTCCCATCTGTTATCGTCTTCATTTTGAGTGGTTCTTGTATGCTAATATGTGAACATTGCACTGAAAATACAAAGAAAAAGACTGAAAATGAGAAGAGAAGTATACAAAGTAGATTGGTTATGAACGTAAACATCTCAAATGAATAACATCACAGCATTATCAGTATTCAAAATTTTCAGAGTGTAACTTGTCGTATGGCTTTATTACTTTGTTTGGTGCTTGTAATAAGTAGGTATATGTGTTATGCCAAATGTGTGGACATCTAAAACAACTGTTGTTAAGGAACAAACACAGTGTGTATCATAAGGTTAGCTTGCATTTCACGTCACTCCGAAGTTCTTAAGTTATGAGTTTGTACATGAATGCATGAATGTAGTTTCCTAATATGTGAACACTCAGCAGGAGGAAGCAAAAGTTGGTGAAGAGATTCGGTTTCAAAGCTAAAAACATTTGTTTATAATGCCGTCTTTCAATCAGGGTAGTTACCGAAAAAAAGACGCTCATATTTAATGAGTTCTCATTACGTCAGAATACTCTGAAATAGCTTCATGCTTCTGCTTAGGCAAGCTGTAACAATGCATGTATAGATAAGATGAATTACTTGATTATAAAAGAAACCGTAGAATAAATTCAGCTTTCCAACTATAATTTATTTTTAATGTGATGACTACTGACTGCACATGATTTCCTTGCAACCGCCTTAACTACAAAATACTCCAAACATGGTCTTGCTTCCACAGGTTGTTAGTTGCCTTACAACTCACTCTTTCTGTCACTCATGCAAAAATACCTAGTATTTAGTAAGTCATGAAGCTGTTTATAAAAAATATTTCTAGAGCTGCTGAAACTAACTTGGTTCAAATTTCAAAGGAACTCCAAACCATTCACCATACAAACAACGCAAAACGCCTTTAGGATCACCATTTGTCTTCATCTTATCCAACTGATTCGTATCTTCTAAATCAGATCGCATTAGGTACCCAGGAAATGGTTCGTATCTTGCAATCGAATTGTGCTTCAAACTGTAAAATCTTGCTCTTGCACCCGTATAAACAGGTGGTTGTCTTCTGCAGGGAGCTTGTTAGGAAGGCAAATATTTCGATTAGTTACTAAGCGAAGATAGTCAATAATATTTGCAATGTTTACGACTGCAAGTTGACATACCTTTCAGCTATCATATCACTTCGAAAATAGAATAAACCAGAAGAAATATCCCGCTAAAAACCTCTAACAGATATCATGTCCCAACTGTCCGGTCAGTTATGTGAGTCAGAATTCTAGATCATTTAGGGTTAAACTGACCAGACATGGAAGACTACTCAAGGCTGAGCCTACAGAGGTACAGCGTTAGACACAACTGGAAAGTGGTTCACCAATACCAGTCCATATATGAAATGGTGAACATGCTGTTGGCTGGAACAAGGCTAAGACACTCAAATTTTATATGGAAGATAAAAAACTGAATGCATGTCACACCAAAACACACAACGAAGCTGATTTCGCTTGGTTCTAAACTAAATGAAACATTATAATGAAACAACAAACTAACGAACAAAAGGGAATCACCATTCACACATGAAATCTAGTGATAAATATGTGGTGGAAACTCCAGGTGCCGGGTAATAATTTTGCTCAAAAGCAGTACAAAAACTTAAAAGAATAATTGAGTGAAAACATGCATTTAAAGTTGATTCATTATAGTTTGTTTCAATAAACAAGGCACAAGCCCGAGTGACATTGATGGCCACTGGAACACCAACTGGAATAAACAATTAAGTTTCATCATTTCGGCTGTATGGAGAGTTTCCCACAAAACAGAGGAAACTAAATGAATATACCCGTAGCTTATAAGGTGTTGTTTAGAGTCAACCCATAAACTCATCATCAGAGTAATTCCCCCCCCTTCCCCTACTAGCTGTCAAGATGCAGACGTAAAATCTAGCTAACTGTCAAGAAGTCAGCCTTAAACACAAGAATAAATAACTCATAGATACACAGAATAGGTCTTCTTGTAGATGCATATACGATTACGCAATAGACATGATGCCACATGTGACGCTCTCGTTTTATAATTCAAATGAAATATGGTATGAATAACCAGATACGTCACATAATACAAGCAATTTCAAACGCAGTAATCACTAATCGTACTTCAAAAAAGGTGCTTTTGAAAACATGGGTTGCAAAGAAAAGTGGCTACGTTTCAGTTGACTTACTGAACGCTTGACTCAGTGGAGCAGTATTATTTACTGCACTACGCTTCAGACACAATTTATTGTCCAAAATCATATTAAGATAACTGCACAACTGTGAGATATGGTTTACAGTGTTCCAACTTTCTCGGAGAGATCATATCAACAAATGAGACAACCAATTAAGCTTCCTCACATCGGTTAGATAGATAGTTTTTCGTAAAATAATGAAACTTCATTGGTCCATTTAATAGTTGCTACGGTGGCCTTTAAGGTCGCTTATTTTCTCCCCCTCTTTGTCATATATTAGGCACTAGTACTTTCCGTATATCTATAACTGGTGTAGAGTCATTCCTGTTACATCCATCTGGTCAAAAGATCCTACTGATTCGATTTGGCGAAATAATTTAGTTTACCGAATCCTTTTTAATGGTCACCAGGTAGTATACATAAGTCGAATAGTCAATCATGGTTATTGAGGCCATATCGAGTACAAACCCGGCTAAACCAAAATTAGTAGATCCTAGTGAAATAAGGAATAAGGAAAACAGCCCGGCTATAGCTCTGTATGTAAGCCAAACACAACAGCACAATAGGATATAACAGTGACAATACTTTAATAAGGTGGAGGAAGGGAGTAGGGAATCTTTGTTCATCGAACCGATACCAATTATATCCAACAGGAATGACTCAGTACTTGTTCCGTACACACGGAAAATCCTACTGCTTCCATCACAAAGAAGGTAAGAGAACTGGAGCTAAATAAACCACTTCTTAAAGTTGAAGAGTTATCTTGAAATGATTATGGGCAATAAGCCATGCTGAAACGTAGTCCAGTAAATAATGCTTTCTCAGTGTGATAAATCTAATCAACCAACTAATACGGAATTACATTCTACAACCATGCCAAAGTTTTACTTTTATATTTATGAGAGCAGGTACACATTTTTGACTTCACTTGTAGACACACATGGAGTTTTAAATTAAATACTTCAACCGACAAATATTTCTTCGGTGTTTTCTTTCTGAAATCCCCTACAATCTCACTTTCAAGTATGTTCGCTACATACATCTTATGGCCCAAAGGTCAACATGGTATGTCAAGTGTCAATAAATAATTCTTTGATACTGGATCATAATAGAAGGTGAAATGAGAATTTGGAACGCGGCTGGATTCGAACCAGCGACCATCGGCCGTGATCCAAAATTTCATTTCACATTCAATCATCACCCAATAGCAATACTAGTCTGCCAATCCGCGGCTATCTCAAATAGTCAAAAGGATAAATAATTTTTTTGTAAGTTGTGGTCAGGAAAATATTAAAGAAATAAAATTTGCATAAGAAATATGGAAATCTTTTATGAATTGGTTGAATTAATGTGGCTCCCATTCACATGAGAGCGACGGTTTTAGTAAAAACACATGAATCCATTATGTAACAGAGTTTCTCATCAGTTGACTACAGCTTCAGTTTGGGCTGGAAGTAAGTAATGCAGAATCTGTCGCTATGAGTAGACAGGTGTTTTTGAGGTAGCTACTGAGGGAGTGGTAGCCGAAATTCGACAGCCTTACGATTCACTTAGCCTAAAACAGAATTTACTACTGTATGTGCACATGCTATTGTAATGGGAGAGAAGAGGGTTGAGGCTGGATTTCGTCAACACATTTCGGATAAGTATTATTAATAATGGGATCAGACTGTTCTGAAGTCTCCACTATCAACGTTTTTATAGGTTGTTGACATGACGCTCATATCTGAAGTCAGTCAGTATTAACATCAGAACGATATCACTCCATAACGGTCCTGATTGAAGCATCCCATACCAGTATATCCAAGTAGAAGGGACTAATAACGAATATAAATGGTAAGGAAAGTAAGTGAAAGTGACAGAAAGTCGTCAAAGGGTGAAAAGAAGGAATGAAACAGTGATGGAATGCGGTATGACATTTTAGATAAGATAATGTATGAATGTATCTAAGTTACTGAGATCGATTCTGAGCTTTTAACCTGAAGTCTCCAATCTCTGACATCTGTTTTCATGCAGACATCAACAGGAAATTCTATACTTCACAATATGGCTCAGATCAACGGTCAAAAGCTTTATGAACTGATGACATATGTTAGCCTGATAGACTCTAAATTTCTTAAGTTTCAACCTACTTCAATTAACAACGCACGGCCGGGAAGATGGTGACTAGCCATTTTTTACACATGTCCCAGTCATCTCAGTCGATTAAAGTTTATGACCTCATCAAGTGATTCACATTTTCTGGATAAGACTATCATTTCTTTCACTGTCATTAGTCAAGTTTTATAACCTCGCCTGATTAACTAGTTTACTAGTTACTAGCCGGTCCTAAGCCCGGGTAAAGAGGGAAGGTTGGGCATAGGGCTAGCAACCCTACCCCGTAAAACAAATCTAACCGCTAAAGAAACTTCAAAGCACAAACAAAATATAAAAAATGAAAACAAACTTATTCCCCGCTGGAATCGGAGAGGCGAAATGACGCCAGTTGGTGAAAGCCTTCGGGAAGCCAATTGGCCGATGTGTCTTCTCTCGATGAAAGCGAAAGTAAACGTGGGGACATGGAATGTCCGCACGATGTTTGAACCCAGTAAGGCAGCCCAGATTGCAAAGGAGATGAGAAGGTATAACATCGAAGTGCTTGGGATTTGCGAAAGCAGATGGAATGGGAGTGGACTCTCCAAACTGTCAACTGGAGAATCAATAATCTACTCCGGTCACCCAGACGCCAACCACGAGCACACTGAGGGAGTGGCTATCATGATGTCCTCAAGAGCATCGAAGGCTCTCATGCAGTGGGAACCAATCTCCTCCAGGATCATGTCAGCAAGATTCAACTCAAAAGGAAGAAAGGTCACAATCATACAATGTTATGCACCTACAAATAATGCAGAGCAAGAGAAAAAGGAGGAATTCTACAGACAACTTCAGTCAACACTGGACAAGACGTCAGTTGGCGATATCAAAATTCTAATGGGCGACATGAATGCCAAACTGGGAGGGGACAACACGGGAAGAGAACTAACCATGGGTCGAGAGGCGCTAGGTGAAATGAATGAGAATGGAGAATTGTTTGCAGAATTCTGTGCATTCAACGATTTGGTGATTGGAGGCAGTGTGTTCAGGCACAAGGATATCCACAAAGCGACATGGATTTCACCAGATGGACACACTAAAAACCAAATCGACTTTATCTCAATCTCAAGAAAATGGAGACGCAGTCTACTTAACACAAGGTCAAGAAGAGGAGCAGATGTAGGTTCAGACCACTATCTAGTGCAAGGAACCTTCGAAATCAAGTTAAAAGCCTTCAAGGAAGCTGGTGATAGACCTCAATTCAAGTACAACACTCGGAAACTGAAGGATGAAACTACAAAGGAGATCTTCAAAGCAGCCATCAAGACAAAATGGGAGACGTCGAGGGACATCCCTGAAGAAACCTGTGTAGAAGAACACTGGAAGTCTTTGAAAGCTATGTGGAAAGAAACCTGCACAACAGTATTAGGAAGGAAGAAGAAAGAAGACAAGGAATGGATCTCGACGGATACCTGGAAGCTGATAGAGGAGAGGAGGATGGTGAAGCAGAAGATAAACCAGTGCAAGGATGCTCAACGACAAGAGGAACTGAGCACAATGTATAAAACACTGGATAAAGAAGTGAAGAAGAGTGCACGCAAAGACAAACGACACTTCTACGACACACTGGCAAGTGAAGCAGAACAGGCTGCAGGTAAGAGAGACCTGACGACATTGTATCAAATAACCAGGTTGCTATCAGGGAAGAGACCAACACAGATGAAACCAATAAAAGATGAAGAAGGAAATTTAATTACAAAAGAAGAGAAACAGAGGAAACGATGGGCCGACCACTTCAAGAAGCTCTTGAATCGACCACCACCTGCACTTCGTCCAGAAATACCACCTGCAGCCGCTGAATTACAAGTGAACATAAATCCCCCAACGAAAATGGAAGTCCTGAACGCCATAAAGCTACTGAAATGCGGGAAAGCAGCAGGACCAGATGGAATACCGCCAGAAGCACTGAGAACAGATGCAGAGACAACAGCGGACATGCTCACACCACTATTGCAGAAGGTGTGGAGGGAAGAGAAGGTACCTGACGATTGGAAGAAGGGTTACCTTGTCAAACTGCCGAAGAAGGGAGACCTCAGTGCTTGCAAGAACTGGCGAGGAATCACTCTCCTATCCACCCCAAGTAAAATATTAAGCCGCATCATCCTGGAGAGGCTTAAAGACGCACTGGATTCAAAACTGCGACCGGAACAGGCAGGCTTCAGGAAGTACAAATCATGTGCTGACCAAATTGCAACGCTTCGTATCATCATAGAACAGAGCGTAGAATGGCAATCAGCTCTATACCTCAACTTCATCGACTTTGAGAAGGCCTTTGACAGCGTCGACCGAGAAGTAATTTGGAAACTGCTTCAATACTACGGAGTACCGCAAACCTTTATCCGCCTCATTCAACAACTATATGAAGATGCCACATGCCAAGTAATCCACAATGGGAAGCTCAGTGATGCCTTTGAAGTGAAGACAGGAGTGAAACAAGGTTGCCTACTATCCCCCATGATATTCCTAATTGTGGTGGACTGGATCATGCAGCAAACAGTAGGCAGCGAGAAGAGGGGGATACACTGGACGACGGAAAAGAACCTAGAAGACTTGGATTTCGCCGATGACTTATGCCTAATGTCACATAAACTTGAAGATCTGCAGGCAAAAACTAACAAGTTGACAGAGGAGGCAGCTAAGACGGGACTTCAGGTGAATATAGAGAAGACAGAAGTGATGAAGATACCGCACCACCACCATCAACAACAACAACAAACTCCAATCACCGTCAACGGTAGAAACTTGAAGGAAGTAACCTCCTTCACTTATCTAGGAAGCACTGTTTCAACTACAGGCGGGACGGACGAGGACGTCAAAGTCAGAATCGGAAAAGCAAGACAGGCATTCATTAGCCTGAAACCAGTGTGGAGATCTTCTGCACTCAGCATGCGGAACAAGATACGGATTTTCAACACCAACGTCAAGTCAGTGCTCTTGTATGGCTCAGAGACTTGGCGCGTCACGAAAGGCATTTCCAATAAACTACAGACATTCATCAACAACTGCTTACGCTCGCTGCTGAAGATCAGATGGCCAGAAAAAATAAGCAACAAGGAACTCTGGGAACGAACCAACCAAGAACCTATCACGCAACAAATATGCAGGAAGAAGTGGAGATGGATTGGGCATACACTGAGAAGGCCGACTGAGGACATCACGCGTCAGGCCCTCGAGTGGAATCCCCATGGGAAGCGACGAGTTGGACGTCCGAGGGTGACATGGAGGAGGTCGTGCGAGGAGGAAATGAGAGCTTCTGGGCTGTCGTGGAACCAGGTTCAAAAGATCTCAGAGAACAGAGGTCACTGGAGGCGTGCTACTGAAGCCCTATGTTCCACTAGGAACCCAAGGGACTAATAATAATAATAATAATAGTCAAGTTTTATAACAAAACTGCAGAGAACTACACTTGGCCTTTAACAAGCAGTCAGATGTCATACTACCACTATAAATAACGTAACCCAGGCGGACCAAATTAACTTTTCATATTCGTACCCAGAAGACTCTAAGACCATTTAACCTCACGTAACCGGCGTATTTTGTCTGCTTACCTTGGGTCTACAAAGCTTCCCTTTATCCAACGGGTATCAGTTGTGATTTATTGATACTTGTAGTGCCCTGTTGTTAAATTGAATTGAAATGATTGATTCCTGTTGGTAGATAGACTTATGTGAAAAAGCCCAGATATTAGCCTTAACATTCATCAGGCCATAATATCTTCGATGGTGGCTAACAGTGAAATTCAGCGAAACTGTCTTAGTGGGATTATAGTCACTCATTTGGGTGGAGAAATATACAGCTACCAAGTCAAAGATAAGGCGAAACTCAGAGCATTAGTCTCACTACTAGTCGCCATCAAGCAAGCTAAATCATAATGAATCCTCAGGTAATATAAAGACATTCAATCAGGTGCCTATACGTCAGAAAAAATCGACTAACTCAATCCGGCATAACAATAGAATATTACAAGTATCCCTAATCTGTATCACCACTTTTCATTATTTTTCATCGGTGGACTATCCACCTATCACTTATTGAAGTATGTAGATTGGACATCTCTGCATATACACTATAGTTTTGATATTCTATAAGGTAATGAAATATGATAGATTCATTGTATTCTGCCTTACAGGGTAGTATGTCGTATGGTATGCTGAATGCGTCCAGAATCTATCGAATAATAGTGGAAAACTATGTGTAGGAATAATATGAACAGATAATTTAACGAACAAACCAAAGTGATGACACTGCTTTCAGATATTCATTTAATGCTAACGTTTTTCAGATATGACTGATCCTCTGGATCGAAGAGCTTGGATACACTTGAAACACTTTCATTCAAAATACACATAATATCTAGTAGCATAATGAGTGTACATAACAGAAGTATCATCTAGGTCAACGTTCATACTGCATAGTTTATAGAGGGATTTCCATCAGCATCCGTGATTGACGCATCGATCCCTATCAACTGAACCATTTTTGTCGACTTCATCTATAAAGTGGCTGTATAAAATATGCGTATCCAAACGAGCTGACATAGTTTGCCTTAACATCTATTGACGAATGACTAGTAATCGTTACCTTAATAGTTTCAGACTTAACAACTACGTCTTAAATTAAAAACCAAAACTTCGCATACTTACCTGGCACGCACTTGCTTCGAACACTCCAGACTCCATTTTGACAAACAGTAATCGGTTGATTTGATTTAACTAATGCAAACCCCGTCTGACAGGTGACATTTAATTCTGAACCATGTCTAACTTTTCCTCCTGGAAGAATTTTACCATCTGAGATTGTATTCACTGACTGCTTTTGTGTATCATCAATGATGCCAGTCTCAGCAGTAGTGATTTGGATTAACTGTACATCCCCTTTGGGTCCTCGATGAATTAGGTAAACATCTCCATGTTCAACAGTAAATAAATAGCAATGTCGGTAGCACTGTGGAAATGGATGAGGATTCCACATAGTAGTCGTTCCATTCACTCCACATATGATCTCATTATCTTCTGTAGACAAAGTCGTATCAACTTCACATCTAGTTCATTAGAATGAAAATTTTACTGCTTAATTATTCTAAACATTATGTTTTGTGATCAACGTGGTAAGTAACGTTTTTTAAGCAGTGAAAATTACTTTTCTGTGCATGTCACATTTTATTTCTAGTATAACTATCAAAATACTATAGAATAGTCTTGGCTCAGGATAAGAAATCAGTAGAAATTGTTTGTTATTTGACTTGATGCAGTATTATACCGATGGAAACTTCATCATAAGCATTTATGCTTACTTAAATGCAATAAATAGTCAACAAACTTACCGGTTTCGCTGTTATTGTCATAGAAGTGAACTTGACCTTACAGTAGTGGAAATAAAACTGTCTCACATATCTGAATGCTTGACAGTTTGACTGATTCAAATGCAGAAGAATAAAGCATTTTGATGCTTGATCTTCAAAATTTCTTAGGATATCTATTTCTTAGTCCTATTTCGATCTGAAATAACTGCCATTTTCATTGGGTTTTCAGCAGAAACTTAAATCTTATTCCATTTTGTCTTCGAATCGTATCGTTTTGAATATCTGTGAATCTCATAACACTCAAGTCCACAACTAATTTCCTGGACATTTTCCTTGCTAATACGCTTTTTAAGTAATGCTTCTCATATAGTGAATTTCTATCCTCTAAGTTGTTTACATTTTGCTAGAGAAGTTTTATCTATCAAATTTCTAGCCTACACTCAGGTCTTATATCATTGAGCGTAACATTTATTGGATGTAAGCTTACTTCTACGAAATCTGATGATCTGATCAGGCCAGAATAAAAATAAACTGGCATCACTGTAATTCTCGAAACTTTGGCAGATCCAACTAATTTTCGATCAAAAATTTTAGTTTACATGAGAAGTTTCTAAGCTAGCAATGTAATTTTATGGGTAATTCTTAGTTCCACTGACTATTAGAAAGCCTACCGAATATTCATTATCTTTACTGATGCTTTTGCCTGTCTGCTGTGATATTTCGTGGAGCTCATTGTATGTTGATTAAGAACAATTTCAGCAAGAGTAAGTCGACAACCTCTCAGATAATTTTGTCATAAGTATTCCACTATATATTGGTTTAGCACTTAGCTGGTTTCGTTTCTATTTTCGGGGCTGTAGGTTCCCTTATTTCCACTACCCATGGAAGGAAGTTGGATATTTAGGCAAGAAAAGCTAGTAAGAGAAAACATTCACATCAGTAATATGTCAACTTGAAAATAGTGGTCTAGAAAATTAGATAGAAAATGCTTTAGGCAAAATGTAAGATCGTTATATATCAGCTGCCTGGATGTTATTTTATACCGCCCAAGGTTTTTTTATCGGAAAGTAATTCTTATCAAGTACTTTCAACTCACGTAACTGTTCCCTTACTGCCATAAGTTGTCGTAATAAATGATACTTCTCCATTCTGTATTTGAGGTGGCGGGCCACAGTCTCTTTCTGAAAAGAAAATAAAGAACTGTGGAGTTTCTGGATAAATGTGTATATTTTGTAGGGCTAACTTATTAACTGTGGTTAAGTCTCAAATAGTAACCGTTAACTAGTATCAGTGAACTGTCCTGTGAAAATGCATCAGACGTAGATGACAAACGTCATCACCCTATCAATACCAAAAGTTATCAAGAAACCTGCATATTAAGGATAGTAGCAACATGCAATTTGTACCAAGAGTTTAATTACTGGAGCTTTATGGCCACTCAGCTCAGAATAAAAAAAATAGTGATCTTAGTTGGGTTATTTTCTCTGAGCTTGGTGGTTTAATAGTGTTCGGTCAGTGACACGACTGTTTTTCATCTTTCACGTTATGTTTCCTCATTTGTTATGATGTTATGAGTCACAATTCCAATACACTGGTATTGATATGTCACTTGCATATGGATTCACTCCTTTCTAAAGAAGTTATTTAACTTCTGACAGTGGTTGTTTCGATAAGTTGTCAACGCAGTCATTTATTTCCTCCGTCGTAGGGGAATCCAAAATCTTGATCAACACTTTCCTTTGTTGTTCTTCATGATGACTACTTTATTTTTCGATTGCTTCTGTTAATTTTGTCATGCGCTTTGTCGTAAGTATAATTCCTAGTTCTCCTTCCTGGTTGGTTGTCAACTACAAGTTGTTACTCTCAGATTCGATGTGTATCAGTAATTATCAGATACACAAGTCGTCGACCACTTTGTTCAGCTATTCTCCATCCTATTCAACACTCAATTGATTGCCTATGCCTGATGCTCATCGGCAGAACATGCTGACTTAGATGCAACACAACCGAGATCATTCACCTGAGTAGCAAATTGTTTTCGTTATTTCCAAGGGGCAGAGAATAAGGCAACAGTCAAGGCAAAGAAGTTTTTCAAAGTTAAAATCCTATGTTTATTTTTACAAATTAGTCAGGACTAAGTCTCGAAAATAGCACTTAACCAAAACATTCAAATAAGCACAGAGTAATCCAGCGAAGAAAATTTCCTTTTCAATGAATCATTCTCTACAGCTGTATAATCGTATTTATAGCATTCAAAAACAATTATATCTATTTTCGGTTAATAGATCAATATCAGGTCATCAAAAGGGAATGCATTAGAAGGAAGTAGTAAATCTTTCCAGAGCCAAAAACAGATTGCGTGATCAGAGGATGTATAGGAGAAATATCCAAAGGTTTAGAATGGTGAATTTCAATTTAAAAATTAAAAACAATTAGCAGAGTAAGGTGAAATTAAAACTACTACGTATAAACTTTGGGGAGTAAGCAAAAACGGCTTTCTCCCAAATGAAACGGAAGAAGCAATAAAAACGACGTTGTACTGTTTTTAAGAACATCTTATTCGTGACTATTAAATAGAAAGAGGGAATCTCTGTATATTAACCATATAGTCAACCTTCTAAAACAATCAAAAGATTCTGTTCTGTTGAACCGCGAATGGACTCCTCTAGATGACTGCTGATTCAAGGAGGTGAGAAGGACGAACTACTGCTTTCAAGCACATCATATGTTTCTATCAATTTACCTGTTCTTAGGGACCTGGCTGTGTTAATCAAAAGAAATGTGATCTTTCCAAACGCAGCTTCTGACACCATCCTATTTGGCTATCCAGAGGAAGACGCACACCAAGCAATAACTTCATCCTAAGACATTAGATCAGCTCTAGTCATGTCCTTTCCCCTACAGTCTTCTTTCAAAACATATACAAAGATAAACTGAACGGCTCAAAAAAAAGTGCAGAGTCATCACTTATGCATAGTTTAGGCTCTGATGATCAGACAATTAAACCATAAGATCTCCATACAGAAGTGCATTCAGTCTCCTTTGTTGTCGTCATAATATTTCTCTGATTTTCCTCACTGCTTCAATATTCACCTTATAATAATATAGTAATATATTTCATTTATTTGCCAATATAACTTTGTTTATAGTACAGAATTCTTAGCATGTGATATTGTATCAGTTTACTCGTTATACAGCAGTTTTCAAATATATATAAACAATGGTGCTGTTTTACAAGATAAAATTAAGACTAACATGATTGTTTAAATGTTTAGTGACTTCAGGGTCACAAAAACTGTTCGTTTTTGCAAAGTTGATTTATAAGACTATGCCTAACATGATTTCCTTCACACAATATACGAGCTAAATAAGGTGGTACGGTCGAATTTTTGTATGTACTTTTGCATGCATACAGTTTACTATATTTGCTTCTTGTCTTCCCAAACGACAAACATGGAGAGAGGTATGGCTGCAGAAGATGCTTGTTATCAGACAAAATATTTGTATCCAGCTGCTTACAAGAGTTCAGATTTCTGTCTACGGCCACATTTATCAGTATGGTTAGTGGTGCATCACTTGCTCTACTAACAGCCTTCAAAATCCTACGCATTACACTATAGTCCTTTTCACGGAGTTCAGAAAAGAATAAGAGAGAACAATAAGTAAGCATGGGTGAAACACAAGAATTAATGGAAAGTAAAAGTAAAGGCTGAGTTACGCCAGGTAGCCTGAGTTTTCTTGTGTAAAACGTTAAGCGAAGGATTCTCTTGGAAATTAGTAAAATATGAGGGGACCAAGAAAGACCGGAAGAAAAGTATAGGCCAAGATGAGTCACGCTTGATATATTCTCTATAATAGAGCCATCTATAAGATAATAGTCATGGGACTGAAATAATTTATGTAAATATTGTTCACTTCTTAAACTAATATTAACCATCTGATATTTGGAGGGATTGAGTATGAGGCCATTCAAGGAAGATCGGTGACCGATTTTGGTTAGGAAGTTATTAAACTGGGTACAGTATGAAGAGATGGTCGGGATGGATAATGCTAGGTCGCCTGTGTACTTAACAAAGTTAGCTTTAGTTGGTGAGTCAGAGAAAAAGAACGAGGAAAGAAAAGGAGAAACAACAGCAACTTGAGGCTCACGAGTTTCACTAAGTAGCGAATTAGAACGCTTCCGTTTGCATAGAGTGTAGTGTATTCTCTCAGAAATATAAGAATCAAGCCATTTCCCAATCCAGGACTTGATGACAGTTCTGGTAAGCTAATTTAATAAAAGGGGTCTAGCTACAGAATCAAGGGAGGAAGTATAATCTTAGAGGGCAGATCTAACATATTTGGCACCTTTGTCCGAACTGCCAATGATGTTATGATGTAAATCAACTGCAGTATCTAATATATCCGATATCCAATATGATGTGTTTTCAGCACCAAGTTGGAAGCACACAAGCAGAACTAACATTTTGACAATTGTTGCGTTATATGTATTCAGAAAATATCTATATTATGCACGTAAACGTCGCTTACTTTTGCAATATGGCTCCTGTCCACTCCACCTTCCGTTGGTCTGACATATTCGACGAAATGAACCATGAAGTTCATAGCCACTGTCACACTCAGAAACAACTGTCCCGTTAACTTTAAGTGAACTAACAGCAATTTTTCCATTCAATATCAACTGTGGTTCTGGACAAGTTATAGCTGTTCAAGGAATAAGAAAATGACAAACATTGTGTAATGATGATAAGAAAGGTTTCCATCCAAAACTTATCTTGCATTTTAAAAAATAAAGTGTCTTTTGAGTAAATACAGTCTGTTGCACGTACAATTTGACTATCTTCAAATTTAACCGCTATTTTATAGCTTCAACTGTTAAATGTTTAAGGTTAAGTCACTTGCAGTTTTGGTGAAGGTTATCTGGATCAGTTCTCATTTCGAATGATACAACCTAGAATAAAGGGAATTCCAGTTAAAGAACGTGTATCATTATTCAAAGCCATTGCACACCACACTCTTGTGTTTAATCTATTGGTATTTTGTGCTTAAGAGAACCGCATCTGTTTCCTAGTACGTTCCATTCACGTGAAATTTCTGTTTCATACAAATGGTCGCCTGCAAAATTTTAACAAAGGAGAAGAAATTTCTCAGAATTTGATGAATTCATGTTGCTTCAGCACCTTCATTTTAACTGTGTGCAAGTTATATGGAATTTCCACATGTTAGCCATTGATCAGACTACAGATCATGTCAGTATGTATCGGTTAAAGTAGACTTACAAAATATAGGATTAACAAGACCAAATAACTTACTAGTGAGGTAGAAGATCTAAGGAAAGAAATCAGATACATTAAGGATGCCTCACCGCTCCTCAATAACTACCCTTTAAATTGATCAGATAATTCATGATAAAACGTAAAAAGGATAACTAGTAGTGATAAGACAAGTGTTAATGATAATAATAATGGAAATAATGACACGGTGATGACATAATTCCAAAATCTTCATGTTGTGACCACACAATGAAGGCACTTGATAGACATTACGTAGGAGTTGGGATAAAACCACGATCAAAAGTGGCATTCAAATCAATGATCAGCCCTTAAAGAAATGTTTCATAATCAGTTTTGACTGTTCCATTTTAGACATTTTCCATCTCATTGCAGTCGACAGTGAATAGATAGTCACCATTCCATTTACATACATTCTATTCCAGCTAAGATTGCTATTTATTGAATATCACCAGTGCTTTGCTTTTGAATAAACTACTTGAGGTTTTAGTAAGCAGTTATGACCTGAGAGATCAACCAAGTTGAACTTGAGGATGAATACTCCCTGATTACATCCGGTGGTTACTGAGCTACATCACGGATTCACAGAAGTTAAAAAAATGTGTCCCATTGGAATCCGAAGAGTAGCTGGGCGGTATTGTGCTTATTATGAAACCTGAGAGACACGGGTTTGACCTCCGTTGAAAGTTTAGTTGAGCACTGATGAGAAATCCTAAACTAGAATGAAATATATGTTTACCGCTTCTAGGTTCAAAGTGGTTTTCTGGTTAATGTCAATCGATTATGAAAACCGTTGAGGGAACAATGAATTTTCCACGAACCCCATAAATTAAATGAATATCTGCTGGTTCAAAACTGAGTAGCATATGCACCGAACAACACAAATCAAACTGTGACTCTTCCTTGTCGTTATACTCATCTTAATTTTCATGAATAATCCTATATAAATATATCTTTCACATACGTCACCTTTTATCGTTCAATGTAACCTACTTTTCATGCTCTAGTTCTTTTGTTTTATCTGTGTTTTGCACTTCAGATCAAATAGCAGTCAAATACTTTTTAAAATCTTAACATATAAATGCACCAAAGTCTTGTAAGTTAATCATCCAAGAGTCCGTAAAGAACGATATGGTCAGAAATGTGATTGTTAATTACCATCTTCTTTAGTAGAAAGTAAATGCTTCTCCCACTCATGCTCATTGCATTTCTACACAAACTGTACGTCGTAAGTAGCACAATGGAGTTGCTTCGGTGGTCGCCAATCAGAATCCACATGACCATTGTCAGTTAGCTTAGGTGAATTTAAGATTCCTTAAAATGCTTGTAGTAGTATTACATGCTGTATCAATAAAATGACCGGTTTGAGCATTGTTTGAGGGTCAGATAATTCGACTCGTAAAAGAGCTTATTTAAGGTTACACGTTTGCTAAACGATTAGAATATGAAAGGTTAATTCTGAAATGATTTTTCACGAATTACATATAAGGGAAAAATTATCAAACAAATAATGGTAAACACACCTTTACAGAGGGCTTCTTTGCCTGACCATGTCCCATTCTCCAAGCAAACACGTTTGCAACCTATCAATAAAAGAAACTCAGTATATTCTCCTTGGATTAGAAAGGAATATATGATGAAAACACCGTTGCCTGATCAAAAGGATAAAAAGTAGACAATGCAGTTGACTACAGACTTTTATAAACTGCCTTAAAACAGATATGCTTTCCGTTAGCATAACGGTACTACAGAACGTCTATCAACCATGTCCAACTGCTTCTTTTTCGGGTATTCTGAATTTAAGGTGTAATAATCAGTCAATAAAACCATTCTTCATTCAGTTTTGTCATTCCAAATGTTCAGGTGAACACTATGATGCAACAAGTAAAATATGTGCCAGTGGGATAAAGTGTTTTGATAGTATAGTCTGGTAACATGTAGTATTTAACAGAATGAGATTAGCTTAACTAACAGTTAATTAAAACTAGAATGGACACGACAATCTTAAACAGAATATTTGATAATTTTCATATAATGAATATAGTTTCACTTAGTGCTGTTTACAGCCTTTTGACAAACGTAACTAAGACCTGTTGGTAGATGGAATCAAGAACAAACATTTTTACAGTAGCTATCTACTCTTATTTTGCGTTCTCAAGAGATTTATTTATATACACGTGATACTTAATCTCGATAAGTTTAGCAATCGGATAATGTCACAAAGCATTCATATAAACGGAGTCTAAAGAGATGAAGTGTATTTATGAACTCTTATAGAAACTGATAAGTTGAACGCTAAGGATATGACTCAAAAATGAAATGAAACAAAGTTTGTCATCAACTGAAGAATACTTCGTTTCTTGCGAAACAAAGTAGGGTGAGTAGAATCGAACACAAAAAACAGGAACTTGAGTGCTTTCACATAAACTAATCCTCAAACGTGAATAGTGATACCCACAGACTTCACCATTGATGCAGGCTTGAATCACAGAGATGACATCAATTTCCTTACAGTTTTCAGGTTAGTATTCATCATAGCCTGACATTAGTTAGAGGAACATTGGAAACCTAAGAGTACTGGGCAGCTGTTTCACCCTAGTATGGGACTCCTCAACAGTGCCAACCCATGACACCAGCACACCTCATAGCTGCCAATACATCTTGGTGACGAGTGTTGGATTCCTTGTGATACATTAACAGAATTTAATGCTGCTGACAAAGATTCATCATAATCTTGAAAAAGAGAAGCATAACATTTTAAAATGTATCCAAATCTTACCTACAATATCCTCTGTATCACACACCACTTTATAGCCCTCGGAGCAAGATATTGTCGCTTCTGCCTGAAAACTCTGATCATATTTATACTGGATGTATCCATTGTTCGGTTCATTTATGAAGCCGCATGTCACTCCTGTATTGTATGACATAAAAATTCACTTAGAACATATATCAACAAAAATAAAGATTTTAAAAGTAGAACACTTGCAAAGAAAAGGCATAACTGTGAAAAGAAACAAACCCTAGAACCTTTATCAGACATATCATTCACTGTTTTCATCAAATTTCGAAATAGTGTACTATTTTTAAAACTATACTTTTCTACCTGTTTCCGTGTAGTTTTCCTTGTTTAAAGAAGTCACTATCCAATGTCAGTTAGGTTGTCCACACCGGTTCACTGTGTTGATTGTAATTTAAATGAACAAATGTAATCACCTTTTTTCATACAGCTTTTTTAACATACAGTGAAAATTCTCAGCATATAACATTCCAACAGGTTCACATATAAGGTCTAATAAAAAATACAAGAAAAACTGTAAACAAGATTGATATGACAGTAGTTCCGTAGCATGAGGTGTTCGCGAAAACCAAAATGATGGTTCATTTAGGAAATCATTCATCTGAAAATAACCCATAAAGAGAGAGTTGTACAAAAGCATTCAGATTATCAGCATAACAAATAAAATTGCAAATCGTGCAAAAAGAATGAGAATAGGAAAGGATACCAATTTGAGGGATACTGGTTTCGCCAAACAATGAAGTGAAGCGGTTCTTTTTGAGCACAGTGTAATGTTTATTTTAAATAAGTTCAGAGTATATTCATTTTATACATTTGCCATGGCAAGCCTATTCATCAGTTGTGATCTAGGGATAGTATAAAAAGCAGAATTATAGTCTACTGTGGCATAGCTAGCATACTTGCCATATTTGTCACAGCTGAAATCAATATTTCAACGTCAAATATTGACAGTATTCAGTATATTTATACATTGGTAAATAAACTGTAAATAGACCCGAAACAGACGGACACAATCAGTTATATTTACCAGCGTAATTTTCGCAAAAGGAATCTACAACAACTAATCGTTCACTCTGTGGCCCAACGTAGTACCAGCTCATGCAGTATCTGTACAAAGTTCACTTGATGTAATATCCAAGGGGTAACCAAGACGTTCAAATGGATTATGTTTACATCTTGCCCATACGGCAGAATTCTATGCTATTTATAGAGAAATTCACAATTTTTTGTTTGAATAAATATTTTATTTGACCTCTTTTGTAATCCTATCACCAGTTTCACAAATTTCTGACTAATAGGTAGTAACCTTTTATTCAGTCTATTTCTATTTCCTTTGCTACAGCCTTACTCCATAAATTTATAATTCTTTTTTCCCATTCAATGTTCTAATTCTCAGGTCCTAAGTTTATTAAAGCAGCCTTGACTCTAACTCATTGCACACTTTTTCGTATAACGTAAGATCGACTTACTAGTTCCTGCAATGTACTATTTATACTACCCAATTTACAGTTCAAAATAACGTTTACCAAGTGACATTTTCATTTCACCGTTTTTGTTATCTTTCTGGTATTTTTAGTCAGTACATTATATTTCGTATCCCAACAACAACTGACCTTAATTACTATGCATTGATCATTTGATAATGTAATTCATGAAAGTAGGAGTTTAGAAAAAAATTAATTAAAAACATCTATCCGAAAAAATTTATTGTTCAAAATAATTATGATGAAAAGTTGCGAAAAGAGACTTTCTTGCCGATCAAAGTCTTCCGAATTCATAATACCAAAAGCCTATGGTCAAGGTTGGAATAAAAGTCATCATAGTTTTTTCGCTATTTTTAAAAGTCAATAGAAGTTGACAGACTAGGCACTGGTATCGTGTTAAGCAATAAGCACTGTATTTTTGAGGACAGATTCATTGTAGATATTAATGAGTAGCATACTTAGCATACTTTCGAGATACAATCCACAACACATGATATCACATTGTAGTCTTTGAGGTGAACAATATGATTATGGTATACTTGAAACCATCTTACGCATTAAACTTAAGGAAACTGTCTTCAGTTGGACTGGGAACACTAGAAAAGATCAAATCACCTAGTTAGTATGTGCTTGACGGGTTTGGAGAATCACAATCACAACAAACTATTACAGAGATATTTTCTCGATCAGAAAGTTGTTTAATTAGCTTCAGTATATTCTGAAAGAGTTTTCAAGTGAAAGGAACGTCTGGTCATACATTATTTTCAGAAGCCATATTCTGAACCTTCTCATAAATGAATAAAGCAAGTTCATGAATTGTAAAAACAGCATGAAATTGACCGTGTAGTTAGATCTTGTAAAGCTACAGTTAGTAACCTCAGTCGATTTTCATTTTTCCACCTAGTACTTTAAATTGATCAAACAGTTTTTCAGATCCTGTAAAGGGTCTTATTTTAAGCAAGAAATTTCGGTATGAAATCAGAGGTGAAATGTATATGAGGTCATGCAATACATTATCGACATATCTTCCCCCACAATGTATGTTCAGAACGGATTGCATTTTCCTGCAAATAGCTTGTGTATTTAATTCATTTAGGAAGGAATGAAGACCTCTCTTGTTTATTATGCCACGTACTTCAAGGAAAACTAGTAAAACTCAAGGATTAGAATTCATTGGTGAAGCTTTCTACTTATCAAACTAATTTATACATCGAAGTAGTTAGATTGGGTCCTGAAAAAAATGACAAAAGACAATTCAGAGAACATTTTCGTCTTGACGAATCATTTTCAGAAGCTGTACATTCATACGTATAGTGAGTGAACACTAGGTCATCAAAACGTTTTCATACAATTAGAAGGTTATTCCTGAAAGTTCAAAACAAGACGATTGCGTAATAATCTGTAAAATGAAGGAACAAGTAAGTAAAATGATACGGTCCTACTGAAATCGACTACTAAAGAGTGAGGAAATGGGGTGAGAATAGTAAAGTTGACAAATAAAATCAACGAAAATACAAATAAATTACCAATAAATAAAAACTAAAGTGTCCTAGAGAGATTATGCTCTAGATAAAATTAGAGGTTGGACATACCCCTCTTTTGTTTATCAATTTGATTATCTGAGATAGCTGCGGTTTTGCAGATTAGTATTGAAACCGGGTGGTGATTGAAGGTGAAGTGAAAATTTGGACCATGCCTTGATTCAAACCGGCGACCATCGGGTTTCCGGCCTGGTGCTCTACCAACTGAACTATGAGGTAGAACATCGAGCCGGAATCCGGGTAGTCGCCGGTTCGAATCCAGGCACGGTTCAAATTTTCAATTCACCTTCAATCGTTATCCAGTATCAATACCTCTTTTGAACGCAGAGATCAAGCTTGAACTGGCAAAGTGTCAATGCTTCTGCCGTGTTTAGTTGCCAAGTCGGCAATCTCTTCATAATGTTTGAGTTGACTCTATAAATGACTTTTAGAAAAAATCCTAGCATACTACTTTTTTCTATCAACATAATTATTTTCATCCTCTTCCCTTAACTCTACAATTGTCGATTTTAGTAGAACTATCCCACTTTTTTCTACCTGTTTCATTGCTTCATCGACAGTTATTACCTGTTCTTTCGCTTCATACATTATTACTGGGGCATCTTGAGTTTCACTTTCAACCATTCACTTATAATCCTAAACACAATTTTTGATGGCCTCATTCTGACTTCTTAGCTTTGGATGGATATATTTTTGTTACGACTATAAATATGAATGATAATGACTCATCGGAAATATATCTATGCATAAATCATATTGTTTAATAAAACCAGATACTTTGCATCAACTTCAATCAGGCTGTTCCTAATCAAATATGAAGGATAAAATATAAAAGTGATATCTTTTCAAAAGCTGTCTGATCTCTGATCTCTATCTGATACGTGACTGTTTGTTCTTCGGAATCATACTATAATTTCAACCAGAACTCATTCCAATTCAAACCTAGTTGATTGTAGCAGCTCAGTTTGCAGAGTACAGGGCATGTAACTTCAAGACAACCAGTTTGAATCCAGATTTTCATTTCCCTTTCAGTTATCAACCTGTATCAATAATGCCAGCCTGACAAACTATGGCTATCTCAATTGTCCCGAGAACAATCAGTACAAGAAACCAAACTGTCGTTATGCAGACTGTGAAGTTACATCAGCATTAGCCTGTAGCTGGTGATTAGTACTTCAGAAAACGGTGCTTAGGTTATTCCTTTTCGCTTACAAATAGATGCTATCATCCATGAGGTTACTTCTTCGTCTCACCTATTACTTGTAAAGATATAGGCTGAAAACAATGTAGAAATGCCCTCTAACAAATGATACTACTTGAGGGCATGACTCAACAGACTAGACGACCGTAGGAGATGCAATATGATGCAATGTATATATATGTATGTTCACTTCAATTTAGAAACACAACCGAAGTGAATTGTTATGCAGAATATCTTAATTCTTGGTAAGTTTGTTCCTTTTCTGTTTTTCTCGGTTTAACTTACGACAGTTTTCATCCCTACTATTTAATGATATCAAGTAGCGTCTAGGAATATAAGAAAAAAGAAGCAAAACCTTGTGTACTCACGCTCACACTTCAATTCAGAATAATGCCAATCTATTCCAATGCATGATGCTTCAGTATACTCCCTGTCAGCATCCTTGTAACCTGGAATACATTCAATTTTCACTGTTTCTCCTGATCGAAAATCATCACGAATTTTCTCTGTGCCATTCTGAGTCTTGAAAATAATTCGTGTATTTAGAATAGCTGGTGGGCTGAAACAAGCTGAAAAAAAAGAAAAGTTCTTACATCAATTCAGTGTATCAAGTCAAGTCCAGCGGTAACTACGGTCATCGCATTACACATATACCTTTCTCTGGTTGGGGTTAACTGAAAGTTCAAGGATTGTTAGCGCGGTGATGAAGCACACGAAATAGAATCACAACTGGTCCCACAGCTATTCTTCAAACAATGCCAACATTTCAAAGAACTTGTAGGAACATTTTATTGGAAACAGTACCAAACATAGTTATTTTCTCAAACATACACGGCAAATCGACTAAACATTTCATTTTACGCTATATGGTATGGTGATATCTCATTGATGAGTGTAAAATGCTTAGAGATTTAGTTGCTACACACCAAAATACTCAGCAACAAAAATAATGTCAATATTTTTTGATAAAGAATAAGTAAAATTACTTCTTACATCTGAATCAACTGGTTAACCTACGTAACAGAGATTAACTTCATCCATAATGTTGCGTATTTTAATGATGTTTGCTGCAGTTATAAATGCATATGCATATGGATATGTTTAACTCACCTTTTCACTCATTGGCGAAGTGGCTGGCTAAAATGCTTGAACCTGTGAGAACAAATCTGTGCAAGCATAGTCTTCCCGATACATCTGATTTTGTTCGCTATACCAAAGAAACCAATGTAAGGGTAGGCGTATGATATCACTCAATGTTTCTCCATTATTTACCAATCTTCCGTTTGTTATCTATGTGATTAAATTGATTCTAATAATATTAACACTGGATTTCATATGAGATACTGGAACTGATATTAAGGTGTACTTTTAATGTGTAGTCCAGGTTTGATGACGTCATCCGTAACCAGACGGACGCAGTCGCAACGGGGGTCTCCACTAGACCCTGACTCGGATGATATCTTTATGGCAAAGCTCAAAAATGGGCCACTTAAAGAAATAATATTGGAACTTCGTTTGAATAAAAGGTGCATCGACGACACTTTTCTTATTTGCGACAAAACATGTTCAGCCGACAAGCTGCTAAGACGTTTCAATGATTGTCACCCGTCCATTGAATTCACTGTAGAATAAGAGTTAAATTCAACATCCCACTTTCTAGACGAAATGTTAAATAGAAAAGATGATTGCTCGAATCAGAGATCAGTCTGTTGAAAACTAACCTGGACCGGCCACTTCACTAACTTTAATAGTTGGCTACCTCTTAGTTGTGGAAAAAACTTCATTCACTCAGTGATCCGGAATCTATAAAATCTGTTCAGGAGACATGGTGGGTAACGAAGTCAAAACTCTTAGAACAACACTGTCGAATAACGGATACCCTAAAATATTTATTGATAAGAATCTCAAGAAACGAACCACTCCCCATCCCATTACAGTCCCTAAGAAAATTTTAATAAGGAATCTAGAATTCAAAGGAAGCACAACAGCCGAAGTGTTGAAAAATCGTCCGTCAAGGTGTATCAATAGTAGCTTCTATGCTACTAGACTGAGATCGATATTCTCCAGCCGCCGTCTGATTCGTCAATGCGTGAAGGATAGGCTTCCACCTATGCTCACATCTATGTGTATCTACAAGTTCATATGCTGCTGTGAAGCTGACTATATTGGACGTTGTAAGCGGGCCCCCCGAAAAAGTGTTGCTGAACATTATCCGGTTTGGCTTACCAAAGACGAGCAAAAGAAAACAACTTCATCCATATGTGAACACCTTGTTGAATCAGGTCATTCAGCAACTCGAGATTCATCCTTTAAAATAATTTACAAAGTTAAATTCTGAGGGGGTTGTGGAGATTTGGAAATATTTCAAGTTGTTATTCATCGAAGACTGACATCAGTTGGAGGAACAAAGGAAACCTGGGAGCACTGGACAGCTGTTTCGTCCTAGTATGGGACTCCTCAGCAGTGCGCACCCACGACCCCACCTGCTGGTGGGGTTAAGTTAAATTCAACTACTCCAAAGGTTTACATTTCCACCACTTATGCATAGCTGAAGCATTAGCTATACATGAACAAAAACCGAAACTTTGCATTCAAAAACGTTTTATAAAACCACTTTCTCTACCTTAACATTAACAATTCATTTCGGCTATTTTGTCGATTTCATTTCACTTCACTTCATTTTGGTATACTTCTCTTTCATTATCATCATTATCACCAATTTTCACTACACTGACAACATTTGACCTATATTTCACTACTTAATATCAATTCATTTCCTATTCATTGACGTATTTGGCATGTTTCAGCTAAATTATCAGCGTTTTACAATTCTTTGACAGCACGTGCCTCTTATCTAACCACTGGTTATCAAACAGTTTCTTTATTCAGTGACCTATTTTCTATTTCTTCCACTTGAACAAATATCACCACCACCTAATGTATATTTTGCATATTGACTGAGCAACTTTTTAGTGCAATTATCTGTCATATTGTCGAATATAAATGCGACTGTACATCTTGATAACGAAGTCGTTGAGAAGATATATTTCTTCTCTGATACTTGTCTTGTTCTTATTCTGAATAAATGGGTATATTTTATCAAATGCATAACATCTCAAAACGTCTTAGTCTGTGAACATTTACAGCCTGCCATTGAAGCAGACACCTGATATATATTTGTGTAGTGATGATTTGGCGTGCTCTGACCTCTGATATGATGAAGGTTCCACGACGCAATATCAAACCTAAGAAAACACCAAACCATCGTCATCCCCCCTCTGAGTAAAGATCCTTTTTCGTCACCCGAAAATATATTTGTATACTTTTAAGAGTCAAACAGTTGGAAATAAATCATGTTTTGGGAGAAGGTGAAACCATCACCCCTGTTTTTATATGTTTCTGAATTTAATTATTGTTACTCCCGTTATGAAAAAAGTTGACTGTTTAGATGAAATCTGAAATTATCGAGCGATGGTCTTATTGCAATCATATTCTTTTTAATGTAGACACAATGCATAAGAACTCCACATAAACCTCAAAAAGTCAAATCTTACTTTCAGTTTGATTACTGCAGGTTGGCTGAGTTCCACTCCATTTTAAAGTTGCTAAACAGTGCCGTTTCCGTTGTCCTCGCACAGTGAAACCTGATTTGCAAGTGTATTCTACAATATCTCCAACATCTGTATCATTGAATAAGGTGTATCCGTTGAGCAATGGTGCAGGCTCCGGACATTTTGCACTCTCTGCGGAAAAATTGAAAAAGAAATTTGAAGAGGGAAATTTTTGAAGCTTAAATTTCAAAATCATTGAATTGTCAGCAAATGTAGCAAGTGTTTTTCAGGTATTACGTTGTTTTCAACATTGTTTGCCTTCGAGGACACTGAATCATTACGTACTATCGATCAAATGTTTACTATAATATTATAACTTGGATTTCGGTTATCAACTCGACTTTGTGGTATAGCATAAGAGAAGCATTAGCTTTCGGTTGACTGGCCTCATATTTTTATGAGAACAGAAAATGTCTCAAAGATACTGGTTTTTATTCGATTAATCCATGCTGTTTCCGTTTGTTGAAAAGACGCACTTGTAGGCTGATATGTAAATTCAAGTGTCCCTCGTTTGCATAATGTCTAGTCGAAATATCTCTTGACTGAAGGGAGATAAGGATTTAGCAAATGAATTCAGAGTTATCAATCCGAATCATGTACACGTAGTATGGACACGCAGATGTCAAGTAACATTGGAAACAATCTTTTCTAGCACACACAAACTTAAAAGCATACTGTATATCGAAACTAAATCTATAAATTTAGCAGTGTGAATAAAAGTTTTTCGATAAATTTCTTCGAAACCTCTGGGGTTTGGAGTAATAATGCAACTAATTTAATGTTTACACAATAGAAAAAAACAAAACAGATTTAGTCTAATCGGGTCTAATAGAATCAATGTAGAAGTTGAAATTGATGTGAATAAATTTCGTGTAATAAAAAAGCGTCTGTGAAGGAATACACAATATCATAAAATTTTACCTGGTAGACACACAGACCCACACAAAATTGGATCACAGACACAACGTTGAGGTGGGCCATATGTGACCCAACAGTCAATATGTTGGCTACATGACTTTTTTGGACAAGCGACTGAATCCGGATGAATGTTATGTCTTGTATCACAGCGACCAAAAGCGTTATTCAAACACACTCCAGCATCCAATAGAAGATAAAAATAGAAACTGGTCACTAGTATGAAAATATCTGTTTTATTAAACATAGTTGAAAATTATCGAATAAATCCATTTCGTATCATAAAACATTTTCTGTGAATATTCTGAATGAATAAAGTGTAGCGTTAATCAGATGTATAAGTTATATAATATTTCTCTTTCACTAGTTGCTACATCCCTAAAGTTTTATCAAGGTCAACTCCTAATCACTTTGACTGGCTTAATGATGAACCAATGAGCGCTGAAATTCGTCTCTCAAAGAACAAAAGATTCGATAATTTTAATAACATTGTTTGTTTATAATCCTAAAACAGAAGGAAGGATAGAAGGTGAGACACAACAAGCATACACTTCCTATGCTATCTGTTCATCGCTTTGTTTGTTGAATTCAAACCGAACTTATCATATCTCCAGGATATATGATACATTATGTAAATGCTTCACAGCTGGATATTCTCAATCAGTATTCTGTCTTTATTCAAAAAATTTAGGTGTCAGTTATGACATTAAACACCATTCTTTGCAAACATAATAAGTAATTTTGTATAAACTTTGATTTGCTTTCTACTCCCACAAATTTTTAATGAATTGATGTTTAAATCAGATAGTCGCATAAAACATACAACGAACAGGCTGAATGCAAGTAAACGACTGATTTCTAATCAGTCTTCATAAAAGGTATGGGGAAATTTTCAGCCTGAAATAATTGACTTCTTCTTCTGGAATTTTCCATAATATGTCAGCATGACAGAATAAAGGAATGAATGTTGACCACCAAGTATTCAACTTCTTGGTCACTCAGTTGAAATCCACTGATCTACTTTTTTGCTACCTTTTTCGATTCATGGAACAGCACAAAACTTAGATAGTGCTATCGCTTGTCAATCGTCCTCATACTTGACTGGTCTATCTTCATAGAGCAATAATACTCAGTGAAAGTTTGCAAAATCTATCTTGAATTCAGTCTGTTAGGATCACGGAATTTTTTATTCGGCTAACTGGTTTTGAAAGTACCCACTCGTCTGAGAACGATGAGGAGGAATACTCACCAGTTGTATTGAATAACAGTCACGCTGTATTGATAATTGGTACGAGTAGCAAAAGCGTGCGTAGCTGAATTTCAAATCTATAACACGCTTCCAGTGATACTTGATGATTTATGGTATTCTGCAAGCTAATCGTAGGGGAACATCAAGCCAGAAAGAAAAATCTTCCAGCATTTTCATTTCTCAGTAATTTCTTAACTGACACAAATATGAAGCCCGATAGCGACTCCGCAGTGATATCTGATTTCAGTTTAAGTCATGAACATATGAAGAAACAAGTACTCCAAATTGGTTGAAAGCTTACATTTCATTCTTAGACAGCAGACAGTATATGAGAATAGTTGTCTTAGCCACGAAAACAACAGAAACGCACTACTACTTTTGTCCTTAATAAGTTGAATCTCTCTCTCTCTCTCTGTACGAACAACAAAACATGGTTTGTCGCATGTGCAGTTTTACGAATGAATGTGAATGTTCCAGAGTCACAACATTGGCATCTAGCATTTGAGAATACCTCCGAATTATCTACGAATAGAATTTATGCTCAATTTATATTTCAAAATCAAGGTAATGAACTAATGTAGTCAGAAGTCAACTCACGTGACAGAATTTTGCAAATAAAATCATTAATTATGATACTGAATTCGGTCAATCCACTGACGCTCCTTCAGTCAGAACTCTAAGAAGCTTATCCAGGTCTGGAGCAAGATACACAAGTTGGATTTCATTACACTGTCATCCTGGAGAGGAGAACAGGATGTACCTACCTAGATATGGTACAAGTAGTATTCGTGATGTTAGAATTACCAAACTATGACGTATTCTTGAGATAGCATCTGAGACAAAAGCAGATTGCGCCATGAAATGATTTCCAGCCCTCTTAGGTAATTGCAGGAAATTTCAGCTAGACCAATTCAAAATTTAAGTATTTTCTGAGTGAGTATGTAGCAAGCATATTATATTGTGTACATTGAAATACTTAATGTTGACTGCATGATTTAAAACGTGTTCAATTGCCTTATTATTGAACACTCAATCGTCTTTCTGCCGGTTTACAAGTTTTTCTCTTACTACCAAAACAAGCCCACATCAGTACTTCGCAATATCTGTTTTGTCTTCATTCTGGGTGAAGCATTTTAGTCTGTAATGCTTGGGATATTGAGAACAGTGACAGTATTTTGGGAAGTCTAGTAGGAAGACTGTAGTAAGATGCATGCCCAGTAAGTCCACTCGATCAGCTGATGGAGATCTAGGCTGTTACTTCATCAACAGAATGCTGTTGATCGTCAAAGTTATAGTGTGAATCGTTAACGAATTTCAGTTCATATTTCCCTTAGGATTTTGTTTGCAAATGTAAACATATGGTACTGAAATAAAAGGCTAAAAACATGAGATATCCTAGCAACTAGCTGTCATATGTATATGAGTCTGTATATTTGAGCACTGTGGTAGGGTATAATTCCACTATAGTTCTTTTTAATATGCAATACAGAGCGAAACATTCCTACTCACCGATGGTATTACTCATGACCATATCAAGGTAATCACACAACTTTTGAGTCTAGTTTTTACCTTGATATGATTATGAGCAGTAAATTTTGTTTGATGTACCATCAGTAAATAAGAACATTTCATGGTGTAATGCATCTTAAAAATTATAATGGAATTAGTTGGTGTATGTTTTTTTACAGCTTAAATTCAGTATTCGAATTAGTAAGGTGCTATGTACCCAAACTATTTTGTGTGAACGATCTCTTTTTCTTAGAATTTTACCTTCAACATACATTCACATTCAATATTTGCGTGAGAGATATTACAAAACTGGTGTCACTGATCAATGGAACATACTTCAGGACAGATGTAATTGGGGTATTTTGAATTTTCTCCAGTCTATATCCGAAAGCCGAACAATATGATTATGGAAATAGTGGGCACATTCAATTTTTCCCCATGTTTCTGTCCTATTGTAGTGGGTGCTGCTGATCAAAATGTGTTGAGAGAGCGGCAGAAAGCATAAGTAATTATCAGTAATGGGTAAATACTATACCCAGAGAAAAGTAAGAGACAATGTGGGGGTATTAAGAGTAAATCGAGATAGAAGCAGAAGGGAAAATAAAGCACATTGTGTAAATAACTATTTTAGTAGAAAATGTACAGTATTTCATCACTAGTGTGTAAGATGTCAACAATAAATATTCCTTCCTGTATCTCAGTCTTCTCATTTCCTACACTATTTGGTGCTGACGGTAACGTCTTGACACTATAGAATGTTGATGAAGAGAGGATTTTGTTTCAACAAAAAAATTATGTTGAACATTATGTTAGACATTTAGAAAACGACTGGCCGAGAGAAGAAATATATTCATTTTCAATTAGGTCTTCGTCTTGGGCTCTTCACTTATATCTGGTTTTACAATTCAATCGAAATACCAATCAAGTGGTGGGAGTAGTTGGTGAACAATAACTATAGATTTTAGTTAAGTCATGAAGATGATAAGTTTTAGAAATTAAGATGCAAATAATCAACAGAGTAGTTAAAATTGGAAATATGAAGCAGGTTATTCTTTATTATTATTATTATTATTATTATTATTATTATTATTATTATTATTATTATTATTATTAGTCCCTTGGGTTCCTAATGAAATACAGGGCTTCAGTAGCACGTCTCCAGTGCGCTTTGTTCTCTACAATCTTTTCAACCTGGCTCCACGACAGCCCACAAGCTTTAATTTCCCCCTCGCACGATCTCCTCCATGTCACCCTCGCCTCAGACAACCAACTCGTCGCTCCCCATCTGGGTTCCGTTCGACGGCCTGGCCTGGCGCTTGATGTCCCCAATCGGCCCTCTCAGTGTATGCCCAATCCATCTCCACTTCCTTGCAATGCATATTTGTCGAGCGATAGGTTCTTGGTTAGTTCGTCACCAGCCAGAGTTCCTTGTTGCTTATTCTTATTGTTCTGGCCATCTGATCTTCAGTAACGAGCCAGCGTAGGCATTTTCTGAAGAATGTCTGTAGTTTATTGAAAATCCCTTTCGTAACGCGCCAAGTCTCTGAGCCATACAGAAGCACTGACTTACTTGACGTCGGTATTGAAAATCCGGATCTTGTTCCACATGCTGAGTGCAGTGCAGAAGATCTCCACACTGGTTTCAGGTTAATGAACGCCTGTCTTGCTTTTCCGATCCTGGCTTTGACATCCTCGTCTGTCCCGCCAGCTGTAGTTGAAACAGTGCTGCCTAGATAGGTGAAGGAGGTTACTTCCTTTAAGTTTCTCCCGTTGATGGTGACTGGAGTTTGTTGTTGTTGTTGGAGTTGTTGGTGCGGTATCTTCATCACCTCTGTCTTTTCTATATTCACTTGAAGTCCCGTCTTCGCTGCCTCGCCTCTGCTGTCAACTTGTTAGTTTTCGCCTGTAGATCTTCAATTTTATGTGACATCAGGTACAAGTCATCGGCAAAATCCAAGCCTTCTAGGTTCTTTTCCGCAGTCCAGCGTATCCCCCTCTTCTCACAGCTCCTAACTGTGTTTGTTGCATGATCCAGTCCACTACAATCAGGAATATCATGGGTAAATAGGAAAATAAAGTCCTAAAAGCATTGAGCTTTTGAATGAAGAGGTGCCACCAGCCAATGTTATGGAGGCCACTGTTCATAAGTCGGATAAATGCCTAATCAGCATAAAGGTGTCACACTAACTCCTGAATCCTCAAGAACAAAGTATCTGAATTGAGAGATTTAGTTGGTCTAAAGCCTGAAGTGATAGTAATAATGGAAACATGGCTATTAGAAGGCAGAAATCTTAAGCTCAAGGAAGGATAGAGCTACTAGTCGTAAGAGTGGTGGCATAGCACTGCATGTTTGGGACCGAGTCAGAAGTGTATACCAGTGGCACACGTGAAATAGTATGTTATGACATTAATTCGAGGCAAGGCACCGTTACTTCCTGAGTCATTTATCGCAGTCGTAGGTGCGAACTGAACTACCCAGTGCAAGACTACCTGCGTAAGTGGACCACTAGCAATAAGTGCTTAACACTGGCTGATCTCATTGTTCTCAACGTTAATTAAAAGGGGCTCACAGCTATATGTCCATATAGCTGTTTTGATATCAGGTTGCTACTGTCTACATTCGAGTGTGCTCTGGTACAAAATGTAGCTGTGTCTACGCCCTTTGATCCAAAGCAAGAGTCTACTCACTAGTACAAGGATGTGAATGACCTCCAGCACCTCCCGCCGCTGGTAAATAGTGACCAAAGTCCGCCTAAGCCTTTTACTAGAAAGCTTCAATGGTGCCGAAGTCGGTCAAAA